CAGCCAGGGTGATGGCCACATAATCCCATAAATCCAGCAGCCCCGGGGGACACAGCCTCAGCTGTTCTAGAGTGGCTGTTTTCCCATTTCCCTCCTTTTTTAAGGAGTTTGGCAAGGGGAGGAAAACTCCTCATCTCCCTTCCCCGATTTCTGCCATCCTTCCCACCAGGCTGGGCCAACGGCTCCCGGAGAAGCGGGGGACAGAGAAAACCTGGTTTCCCCCTCCCCATCAATATCCAGAGCAGGGGTGGGCAGGGGGGTCCTTACCACTGTATGAAGCCCAGTGCATTGGTGAGTAGCCGCTGTAGTCCACCACGGAGTCCAGGGGGTCAGTAGAGAGGGCTGCCTGCAGCAGGGTCCGCAGGATTTCTAAGTGCCCGCACGCCGACGCAAAGTGGATCGGGGTCCGGCCTTTGAAATCCCGACACAGAACGAAGGCATCGTGGTCCAGCAGAGCAGCCAGGCAGTCCTCACAGCCCGTCACGGCCTGCGGAAGAGGAGCAGGAGGTCAGATCTCACCCCACGGCCACTCTGTGCCCTTCTTTCACAGCTCCCTTCCCCAATCCTGCATCTCAGGAAGGGAAAATGGGCTCTTCCACCAAGGATTCTGGCAACAAAAGAAACCAACGGCTGGTTCTCCAGATGGGGAGCAGAAGCTGCAGGACTCCAAGTCATGCCCCGGTCCCAGGGACCTGCTCACCCAGCCAGCCCAAGGGCCCACGCCCACCCCTGGGTGCAGGGGACCCCTCACCCCTCGGTGCAGAGCGGTCCTTCCCCTCTTGTCCGCTGCATCGGCCGTGGATCCCTTCTCCAGCAAGAGGTGGACACAGTCAACGTGGCCGTTCATGATCGCCAGCATCAGTGGGGTTCTGCAGGGAGGGGAGAGGGGTGGGGGGCTTGGAAACCAGCTGCCTTCAAGCATCGCCCTCTCCCCCGTGTCCCAGCCGCCCTGACCCTGCGCCCAACAGATCCCAAGAGAAACATCCAGACAAACTCACTGGCCGTGGATGTCCATGACGTCGGTGATGTCTGCCCGCTCCCCGCTGTCTATCAGGAGGTGCAGGGAATCCGTGTTCCCGTTGGCAGCTGGAGACAACGCAGGAGGAAAGGAGGAGTCACACGCACATCCCAATGGGTCACCCCCACCTTCCCGCCACTGCCGCAATCCCACGGAAGGGGATCGTGCCCGGCAGCCAGGCACACGTGGCTCAGTAAATTCATGATGTGGTTGCCAGGTTACCAGATTGATTCGAACGGTTTGGGTTGGCAGGGACAT